GAGCATTTTCTCTTTTATGTTAGTAATTCTTTGAATCTCTTTTTCTAGTCCATGATGATGTTGTCTGAGTATAATCTTAATTTTCTTTCCGGTTTCCAATGTTTATAATTTATTATAATTTATATTATTTTGAGCAAGGCCTCAAAAATAAAGGAAATATAAATGAAAATGCAATTTATTTATGTAAAAATGTTTAAAAATGTTTATTTTTGAGAGAGACAGAGACAGAGAGCAGGAAAGGGACAGAGAGAGAGGGAGACAGAATCCAAAGCAGTCTCTAGGTTCTGAGCTGTCAGCACAGAGCCCTCCGCAGGACTCCACAGTTTGAACTCACCAGCCCTGAGATCATGAGGTGATCCGACGTGGGTCGCTTAATTGACTGAGCCACGCAGGCACCCCAGGTCCATTTTTGTTGTATACGTTTCAAGGCTATGTTGTTACGTGCATAGAAATTCAAATTTTTATAATGTGGTGGATTGGACCTCTTAACCAGTGAGTGTTGTTTCTCTTTTTCTTTAGTAATTTTTGGGCTTTCTGGTCCATTTTGTCTGAGAATATAGTTAAACTAGATTATGCTTACTCTTTTCGTGGTATACTTTTTTCCTAATCTTTTATTCTGGAGCTTTCCATGTCATTGTTTCAGACATGTAACCTATACTAGCATGTTATTAGGTTTTAAATTTTAATCCAGTGGGACAATTTTGAGGCATTTGTGTTTAATGTAATTAACTGGAATCCTGGTTATCCTTAATATAATTCTTAGTATGTTTGGTTTAAAAACAGTCATCCAAGTGCATTGTAGTTACCCCACTTATTCTCAGTTTCTTACTCTTTTTTGCCTTGTTTTGGATGAGTTTCATGCCATTATATTTTCCCATTCTGTCAGCATGAAAATTATGAACATCAAGACAATTAGTGGTTTTTGTCAGGACACTGGACATTATCTGTACGGCATGGAACCTTCCTTTGTCAAATTCTCGTGTTAATTAGTTCTTTTACACTCTTCTCCAGCGATGCAGGAATCTTAGAACACTTCGACTTCATTTGCCACTTTTCAATTTATTTTTATTTTTAATTTTTAATTATTTTAGAGAGAATGAACTGGGAAGGGCCAGAGGAAGAGGGAACGAGAGAATCCCAAGCAGGCTCCACACCCAGCCCAGACCCCAAGTCTGAGCCACTCAAGTGCCCCACCACTTTCCAATTTATTTACAATGTTCTGTACTTTTGTTTCTTGTGTATTTAAAACCTCCTAAGATATTACCATTATTGCTTAAAAAACCATGCTTCTGATTTTCCCAGTACTTTGGTTTTCAGACTGAAGTGCCTGTACTCACAGGCTGTACAAAAAGCTCTGAAGATATACTTGAGCACATGTGGTTTAAAGGAAAACGGTGCCCTGATCCTCTTCTGTGTGGTCTGTTGTGTGCAAGTGATCTGCCTGATTCCCCTCCTCCTGAGGCATGTGTTGGGTGGATCTCATTTTCCTCGTCTCATGTCAGACTCCCCCGCTTACACATCACACGATGAAGGAAAACCTTCGCCACATTCAGAACCTCAGGCTTTACTGAAGAATAAATCTTCTGGGGTATTAAATAAAGGGACACTGAGTAGAGGTGCCTGGGTGGCTCAGTTGATTAAGCGTCCAACTCTTGATCTCGGTTCAGGGCATGATCTCATGGTTTGTG